GGCTCGACACTAATTGACCTGTCGCGCTTCTCTGGAGAAACTAGCGAGATTATCCGGACGGTTCTCGAGGAGGTCGATTTCGATGTGGAGGAGCTGGAGATGAAACTCGACGTTTCCATTCGCCAGAGAAAGGCCCTGCCCGGAAGCCAGGAAGATGCCGAGATGGACGGATCCCAGCGCGCAGCGCCGACAAAGGAGAACCTGAGAGAGACTATCCAGGAGCTCTCGAGCCAGACCCGTGCGTTGCCGTCGTGCCTCTCTACGAGCACTGGCGACGTTTACGACGAGTTCAGTAGACTCTTCCTCCGGGTCGTGTCTCAGCAGTCCGAAGACCCGACTCTTCTGGCCGATTTCGACCAGCTGCCGTCTTTGAGTCGACGAACGGCAGTTAGCAACCACACCTACATTACCTTCTTCGTTCGCATCTGGTCCGGTCCTTACCCAACTCTGGCTCGCGCCGCCGCTGTCGACACTGTCAGGAGACGTTTGAGCGACGGCGATGGCAACGATCTCGACTTCCAGGCCCTCATCCCCTACTGCCTCGTTGCCCTTGTGGACTCCTCAAAGAAGGTTCGCCGTGCTGCGGCCGAGCTTCTCATCCAAATAGGCCACTTTTTCCCTCACCAGTCCAAGGCCGCCAAGGCTTCTGTCTGGGGCGGCAAGAATCTTTACGACGACAGCGACAAGGTGCAGTGGCTGGATGCCGATACCGTTTCTCGCCTTCTTCACGGTGTCATTCTCCCGGCTCTGGAGGAGTGTATCATGCATGAGGACCACATTCGCGCCGTCCTCCACTCGACACTCGACAGCAGCGCCAAGGGCGAGAGCAGCGAAGGAAAGAAGGCACTGAGCTCTTCGGGCAGAGCGTCGATCCTCTCGTTCCTTGCTAGCCACGTCGTCGCAACGCCGCTCATTAGGGTCAAGTCCAACCTGCTCTCAATTCTCAACCGCATCAGGGGAGTATCATCCACCTCTAGAACAAAGGTCCTGCTCCCGGCTTTCCAATGGTGGGCGTCGCTGTCTGCCGAGGAAGCGGACCGTCTCGCCGAGGCCGAGGAAGTCGATCAGTCATTGTTGCATACTACATTTGCCGAGATTGTCGTGCCGAACGACAACGAAGGCCTCGAGTGCCTCCTCTCTATTATGAAGGATTCCGCCTCCGCCAAGCGACCGGAGCTGGTCAGATCCATCTCGGCCCGCATCCGTGCGATATGGGGCTCTATGAAGGCCGACACCAAGTTTGATGTGGCTCAGACGATGCTGGAGCTCTCTCAGGCACGACAGGCATCCCAGGATGAGGAGGACATCATCGCTGACGAGGCGGCTGATTTCCTGAGAAACGTTGAGCTCACGACAGAGATCTTGGCTTACTCCCTCGAGTCTATCCAGACCGGCACGAAGCTCATCACCGAGCCCCCTGCCAACAAGCGACGCAGGACCAGCTCCTCTGAGGCCAAGCGGGAAGTTAGCGCTCAAGCCAGTGCTGAGCTTAGCGCAACCCTGAGATCCGTCACCTTCGTCCTCCAGCTCGTTGACGGCTCGCAGCCGGCTACTCACCCCGAGTTGCTGGATAGCCTCTTTGGCACGCTCTCCGAGCTTCAACACTTCCGCACTGTTATTGGATCGGAGCTTGGATACCTGCAAAATCTGGTGCTTACAAGTCTGATTGCTATGGTCCCTGCCTACAGAGACAACAAGAACCTGAAGATCGACAGCTCAGGAGGCCACGGCGATTTGCTTGTCAACTGCATTCAGAAGTCTTCCAGCCCCATTGTGCAAAACTCGGCTCTCCTCCTGATCGCCAGCCTTGCCACTGCCGCGCCTGATCTTGTGCTCCATAGCGTGATGCCCATCTTCACTTTCATGGGTGCCTCGGTCCTACGCCAGAACGATGATCACTCTGCTCACGTCGTCAACCAGACCATCAAGGAGGTCGTACCGCCCCTGATGGCGTCGCTCAAGAAGGGCAAGAGAAACCCCATTGCGGGTGCCACGGAGCTGCTACAGAGCTTCGTCACTGCCTACGAGCATATCCCTGCACACCGCAAGCAGGGCCTATTTGTCGCTCTCATCAACACCCTCGGTCCCGACGAGTTCTTGTACGCCCTTCTGGCTATGCTTGTCGATAGATACGGTCCCAACGACAGCCTCATGGCCTTTGCCTCTGAGCTCCTCGGCGTTTACAGTGCCGAGGTGCAGCTTCAGACCTTGGCTAAGCTCCTGGACTTGATCAGTGACATCTTCAAGCCCAAGCCAGGTCTGTCGGCCACCCTTTTGGGAGTTGGCGAAGACTTGTCAGAGAAGAAGCCCGAGGCCATTGCTATCCAGCAATTGACCGTATTCCCCGCTCTCCTCTCCAGCCGAAAGCTGCGAAAAGAGATCACCATACTCACCGAGCGAGACGACATGGATTCTTCAAAGATTCGGGACTTGTATGCGATCCTTCTCAGAGACGTCCTGGCTCTTGCGGAGACCGTCAAGCAGCAGAAGGCTCTGCACGAGTGCTGCGGCAATGCTCTGGCCAACCTCCTCAACCTCCTCTCCATCGGCGAGTTCATCAAGTCGGTCGAGAACCTCCTGGACCGCACCGAGATCGACCTCCGCCGCAAGGTCCTCCGTGCTCTCGAAGTTCGCGTGGACCAGGAAGGTGTCGCGGATGTTGCCTCCCGGACGGCACTTCTTGCCTTCCTGCCGCAGCTCACCGCCGCAATCCGGGATACGGACGACCTCAAGTACAAGCACACTGCAGTTTCATGCATCGACAAGATCGCGGAGAAGTACGGCAAGAAGGACGTCGAGGCTGTCGCGGGTGCCGCCGCGACCATTGCTGGACCCCACTGCCTCGGCCAGCCCGATGTTCGCCTCCGTGTCATGGCATTGCTCTGCCTTGCCTCTTTGGTTGATGTTCTTCAAGACGGTATCCTGCCTATTGTCAACATTGCCATTTCCCAGGCAATTCTCTACATTGAGCAGAGCGTGGAGAACGACGAGGCCGCCACCGAACTGCACAATGCCGCGTTTGCATTCATCACTGCGCTCGCGCAGCACTTGCCTTACATGATCTCGGAGAAGCACCTGGACAACATCTTGCTTGCTTCCAACAAGTCAGCCGAAGCCAACCTGGATGACGAAGCCGACGATGAGCGCACCAACTGTCTCAGATTCCTTGCCAGGAAGGTCGAGGCCAAGACGATGTTGGCCAGCCTGCAGAAGAATTGGATCCCGGCAGCCGAGGCTGGTTTCGATGTAAGTTGTCCGCCGAGAGAAATTTGCAAAGCTATACTAACAGGCAAACAGGCCACCGACGAATGGGTCGACATCTTTGGTGTTGTGGTTGACAGCCAGCCCAAGACCATTGTCACAAAGAACGTCACTGCCTTGTCCGCAATCCTGCTCAACTCCTTGGACCTTCGGAGACGGGAACAGATCAAGGGCAAGCTCACAAACGCGACAGCTCCGCGTGTGGCCAAGATCGAGACCTCCATCAACGACGTCACGCTCAAGATGATTTACAAGCTCAACGACGCGGCCTTCAGGCCCATCTTCACCCAGATCGTCGAGTGGCCCACGCAGCTGCCCAAGCAAGACGTCGCAGGACGTGCTCTGCGTCGCTACAGCGTCTACGGGTTCCTCCAGGTCTTCTTCGAGGGCCTCAAGTCCATCGTCACCAACTACGTTACCTACATCGTGGACGACGCCGTCGACATCATCAACGGCACCGACTTGAAGATGCCCGAGCAGAAGGCGCTCTGGCAGCGCGTGCTGTCCACGCTGGCGAGGTGCTTCGAGCACGACCAGGACGACTTCTGGCAGGCGCCCGCCCACTTTAGCAAGGTCGCTCCCGTCTTGACGGCGCAGTTCCTCCACGCCTCCTCATCCGTCGACCTGACCGCCGAGCTCATTCCCGCAGTGGTCGAGCTAGCCTCCGCGGCGGATTCGCAGGAGCATCAAAAGGAGCTCAACACGGCCATCCTGCGCCACCTCCGCTCCGAGCAGGCGCCCGTCCGTCTGACGGCCGTCAGGTGCCAGCAGCAGCTTGCCGAGAAGCTCGGCGAGGAGTGGCTGTCGGCTCTGCCCGAGATGCTCCCTTACATCAGCGAGCTCCAGGACGACGATGACGAGACGGTCGAGCGGGAGACGCACCAGTGGATCGTCAAGATCGAGGGAGTCCTTGGCGAAAGCTTGGACTCTATGTTGCAGTAGAGAAAGTTTAAAACCAAAAAATGGAGAGAGAGAGAGCTACGGGAGCCGTGTGGGATAGCTGCGGACGGAAATTCGGACAACCCAACCCCGTGTACCTTCATTCGATGCATGCATGCGAACACACAAAAGTGAAATTTTAGGGACGTCATTTGGACAATCAAAGAAAGCGGGAACGCCACGCCGGGGCCGCCGGACGGGCAAAAGTGGAGACAGAGGACGTCACTTGTTCCGTCGGCGCCGTGTGTACTAAGGTCTAAGGGTAGTAGTCTCTCAGCTTGGTGACGTGAGAAAAGATGTAATTGAGTTAGACAAGAATCAACCTTAATTCTACTGTCCAAAAAAACCCCTCCTCCCCTTGAATTCTGTAGATCAATCACTCTGCTTGCCTAGCGAACGAAATAAGCGCATTGACTCAACTGATCTCAAGACTTTTTTTTCTGGATGTCAAGGCACCTGGTCCCGCCCGTCCCGTATTACCTTACCTTAGGAGTTTAGTACACGCTCTTTGGCAAGTCTCCGATACACCGAGCGCCCTCGACACTCCGGGCTATTATCGTGCCCACCTTTCTCAATCTCAACACCGCCCAAACGCCTAACGTTGAGCCATCGGATTTAACCCACCGCCGTAGAACGGCCGTAGAAACGGGTTCGGAGGACTAGGGGAGTCAGAGTCAGAGAAAAGGAGTGGGTTGGACCGGTTGAGTGAAAGGGCCTCTGCGGTTGTTTTATATAACCAACTACTGGACCCCGTTTTCTTTTCCCGGCTGCTTTTTAGGTGGTGTGATTTCAACCCCATCATGGCCTCATCGAAAGTTGTACAACAATATTGGAGGAGCCTGGCTCGGCCCGGACTCGGACGCCGGGGGCCAGCCGGGACGGCGTTGCAGGTTGAGGCTCTGACTAACACGAGTCTCGTCAACCAACGCAACAGCACGAGTTCGAGCTCGCCTACAGGTAAACATCTAATTCACATCTTGCCCCCCCCCCCACTTTGCATACTCTCATCGCGCCATTGGAAAAGAGGAAAAACATGCCACTAACACGAAACCCGCAGAACCAAAACGTGAAAGAGTCGTCGTCCTGGGCTCAGGCTGGGCAGGCTACGCCTTCGCCCGCGACCTCGACCCCAAAAAATACGAACGCATCCTCATCTCCCCGCGCTCCTACTTCGTCTTCACCCCCCTGCTGGCCTCCACCTCGGTCGGCACCCTCGAGTTCCGCTCCGTCCTCGAGCCCGTCCGCCGTCTGGAGCTGGACTCGTTCCACCAGGCCTGGGCCGACGACGTGGATTTCACCCGGAAAGTGATTCGCATCGAAAAGGTCACGTCCGAGGACGCCACGTCCAAGACGTTGCCGGCTAGGGATGTGCATTCGCGGGCTAAAGGGGAGGTGGTTGATGTCGCCTACGACAAGCTTGTTGTGGCGGTGGGGTCGTATTCGCAGACGTTTGGGATCGAGGGGGTGAAGGAGTATGCTAATTTCTTGAGGGATATTGGGGATGCGAGGAGTATTCGGTTGAGGGTATTGCAGTGCTTTGAGAAGGCGGATTGGCCGACGACGACGGATGAGCAGAGGAGGAAGTTGCTTCACTTTGCTGTTGTTGGCGGAGGCCCGACGGGTATTGAAGTGAGTTATCCCGCCTCCTTTTTTCTCACTTGTTATGTCACTGACTTGACCGCCAGTTCGCCGCTGAGCTCCACGACCTAATCCACGACGACCTCTCCAAGCTCTACCCGCACCTCATGGAATTTGTCGGCATTACAGTCTACGACATCGCACCCAAGGTCCTACCCATGTTTGACCAGCAGCTGGCCTCCTACGCAGAGGACCTCTTCCGCCGCCAGGGCATCAAAGTAAAAACCAACCACCACCTGCAGCGCATCCGCTCGGACGAAGCGGACCCGCGCGGGGCGCTGCGGCTCAAGATCCAGGAGCACGGCGAGGAGGAGGTCGGCGCGGGGATCGTGGTCTGGAGCACGGGGCTGATGCAGAACCCGCTTGTGCAGACGCTGATGAAGAAGGAGTTGCGGAATCCGAATGCTGTTGTTGCTGCTGCTGCTGATGGTGAAGGGCAGAGTGCTAGTGGTGGTGAGATGGTCAACATTCTCAGGGCGGAGCGGAGCGGCGGTATCGTCACGGATGAGCATCTGAGGGTCCGCCTAGACGATCCGAAGAACGAGGGCGCCGTGCTGCCGGACGTGTACTCGATGGGCGACTGCTCCGTTCTCGAGGGCCAGACGCTGCCTGCTACGGCGCAGGTTGCGAGTCAGCAGGCAAAGTACCTCGCCAAGGCGCTCAACAAGGCGGCGGCTGGGCCGGAGGGTAAGCCGTTCAAGTTCCGGAATCTTGGGGCCATGGCGTATTTGGGGAGCTGGCGGGCGATTCATCAGAGTTCTGCGGATGAGTTGAAGGGGAGAGCAGGTATGTTTACTCACTCTTTGCATGTGCCGGGACTAGATGAGCTAACAGGGATGCTGTACAGCTTGGATTCTGTGGCGGTGTGCTTATTTGACCAAGTCGATGAGTGTCCGGAACAAGATTCTGGTTCCGGTTTACTGGTTTATCACGTGGGTTTTTGGAAGGGACATTTCTCGATTTTGAGCGTTGTGGGATATGAATATGAGTGCGACTAGGGGTCGATCTCAAAGGGATCACCCTGGACTTTTCAGAAGTGAATGGCGACTAGAAGAGGATGTACGATGTTGGCCAGGACAGGCCAAGGTAACTCGCCTACACAGATATCAGCGATAGACATAGGCAAAGTAAGGCGACTACCTCAGGGATGATAGATTAGAGGGGGCAACCCGGGCTTCCAGCCCGCATGTAAATATAATACCACGTACTTCTTTCTCTATTAGGTTCAATATAATTATACCAATCCGCAAGGTTTGATACCCAATGGTAAACACTGCAGCCACCTCACATCGCATCCTTTGAATTCACTCACCGCCCACCGTAGCCGCCGCCTCTCTACCTCTACCATCAACAAGTTTGCTCGATGTTATCACCAAGGCCTGTGACGTAGCGGGGAAAGTCCTGAGTGAATTGCCCCGTTTGCACAGGTTTGCGCGCAAGTTCAAGTCTCGTGAAAAATCACTAGCATCGTTACACTTGAGGAATAAGATATAAGAACCTCGCAGTGGTTTTCGTAGTTCCCCGGGAGGGGGGCCGAGCTTTTGCATTCTTGCTACATACACATTACCAATGATGGATGGTATCCATTCCATTGTTGATTCACTCTACTACTTTGTGCTTGGAATAATAAAATACCGCCCCTCTTGATTTGAAGCTTCAAGATGCTGAGATGGAGAGTACGGCAGAGAACATATTTGTGACTATAAGTAACGGATAGTAATCACTATAAAGAACCACCACTGCCATCGATAATTATCGGATTCTTCTCCAATCAGGGCAATGAATGTTTGACACAGCCGAAATCTCATGGTGACTTGCGTGTTCCTCCCTTGCCCTTCAAAATTGTACCATCTAGAATGAAAGCAGACAAACCTGATGTTGATTTCGGGAAAACTTTAGTACACGCGACGTTGGCTGCATAGATTGAGATAGATAACAAATATTTATTCATTATTCATGACGATTGTACATTATGTACTTTTGCGCAGAAATCCATCACCATATCTAACCATCTCAGAACTGAGGGTATCCCGACTGCGAAACGAAACGAGTGCCATTCACTCCCTGGATGCCCTGGCCCTGCTGGCCAGCAACAACAGTAGCCTCACGCACGGCACGCGAGACGGTACCCCTGACACGACCCTCCTCGAGCACCAACAAACCACCGATAGTGCATCCGCCAGGCGTAGTGACCTTGTCGCGAAGGAGAGCAGGGTGGTCACCGTTCTGGACCAAGCCCGCGGCGCCCTTCATAGTCTGCGCCGCCATCCTCGTGGCCTCGGCGCGGGGCAGACCCATGGCGACGGCGCCGTCGATGGCGGCCTCGAGAACCAACGAGAAAAAGGCCGGGCCGGAACCGCAGAGGGCGGTGCTGACGTCCATGTTCTCGGCGGGCAGGTAGACGACGTCGCCGATACGCTTGAAGATCCAGGTGACGAGGTTGGCGGCCTCGCGGGGCAAGGGGTAGGTCGGCGCGCCGATGACGGTCATGCTCTCGCGGATGAGGGAGGCGGTGTTGGGGAGGGCGCGGATGATGCGGCAGCGGCCGTCTTCCTCGGGGTCCTTTGTCGGGACGGCGCCGTGGAGGATCTCTTCGAGGTGCTCCTCTGTGAGGCCGGCGCAGATGCTGATGAGGAGCTTGCCGTGCAGGGCGCGGGTCATGCCCGGTTCGCTGAGGACGTCCTTGACCATGTAGGGCTTGCAGGCGAGGATGACGACGTCGGATTGGGCGACGGAGTTGACGTTGTCGTTTTGGACGACTTTGAGGATGGAGGAGTGCTCCCACAAGGCCTTCTTCACCTTTTTGGCGCTGTCGGAGCGGCGGACGCAGGCGATGAAGCGGGAGGGCAGACGGTGGGGGACCTCGTCGCCCAAGGGGGTGGATGTGCCTGACGCCGAGGGGGTGTGGAGGGTCTGAAGAGGCTTGGGAGCCTGCATTTCCAGGAGGGAAGTGAAGATGCCGTTGAGGATGGCGATACCCATGGTTCCTGTTGAGAGTCAGAATATTTGTTTTCATTATGAGTATGAGTGTTTTTACGTACCGCAACCGAGAACGGTCATGGTGAGCTCCGAAGAGCTGTGATCTCCCATAACAGACATGACGAAGAGGCGGTATGAGAGAAGAAGATGAGAATGCGGTGTAAGTGATGGGTTTCTACCGTGTCAAGGATGCTGCCTCCAACTTATAATCCAAGGAAAAACACCAGAAAACCAGAGGGGATATGCAAAACGAGTTCAGTTACGGAGAAAGGTCTCTCGAGTGCAAGAACAAAGTTTATCAGACAGAGATAGGAAATGAAGGCTGAGTTAAAGAGTCCCCTGGCCAATATTATCCACCTCCTTTTGCAGAAAAAGAAGCTCTCCACTGTTCCGATATCGTCCGTCCACAGCTTTTCGTCCACTGAACTTGGCTTTTCTTCAGCGCTAAGCCCAACTCTGCTTAGCTTGCTGTTCCCTCCATTCGCACAGTGCTGACCACACCAGAACAGGGAGAAGAACACTGGCGAAAATGGAGGCAACAGCACAGGGTCCACCTGTGGGAAACTTCCCCCAGCGAATTCAGTCGGAAAGAGTGACAGCTCGGATTCGGATACATACCTTACAGGTACCTAAGACAAGCCTCAACTCAGCCCCAGCATCACCAGCCGCTTTTTCAACATCATCCCGAACTCTCACCCCCAAACTCAAGTCGCCCGATCCAAATTAAGATCAGGACCGGGACCGAAAGTCCGCTGAACTCACCATGGCGGACCCTTTCGAGGTTCGAATGCGCTTCAGCAGCTCACTGCAGCACCTGAATGCGTCCGTCACTTCTGCTCAGAAGGCGGCCCAGTATGCCCTCAAGTACAAGGATATGGACGAGGATCTACACTCTTGTATTCTGGAGCAGTTGGAGCGGGTGAGTCTGAAGTGTATGAGACACGATGAGACCATGGCTGATTTATGCTCGTTTAGAACAATATGAATACGCGCGCCAACATCATGTACTTCATTGAGCATTTCCTTGAGATGGCCCAAAAGGACAAGCACATGGACTACGTCCGCATGATGCAGCGCGACATCATTCGCATCGTCGACGCCGTTGCTCCCGATGACGGATCCGGCGCTGCCAACGTCAAGGTCGTCCGAAGAGTGAGTTGACTTGGTTCCGAGCCGTACCGTCGACATGTGTAACTGACATGAGAGAAAAAAAAAAAAAAGGTCCTCCGAGGTCTCCAAGACAAGGACTTCCTCGAAGCTCGCACAGTCACAGAGATTGAAGAAGTCCTCAAGGAGCGCGAGACGAGCGCCCACGACGCGGGCCTCTCGTCCCCCGTCAACGGCGACGTCGAGATGGGCGACGCGCCTCCTAGCCACGCGATACCGACTAATGGTCGCGGGGGAGCCCCGCGCCTGGAGAAGCGCCAGATTGAGCAGCGCATCGAGGAGGACCGCGAGCGCCACAAGCGGCTGCGGGAGAGCATATGGGCTATCCCGTCGCAAGGGAACGCCGAGGTTGACAAGATTTGGGATGAGACGAGCGATTTTGGGGATGACGACCATATCCTGGGCGAGGAGGAGTTCGCCGAGTGCTCTCAGGCTATGAAGCACTCGTGTCCTCATAAGCCGCCGGTCGGTCCTGCTAGTACGCGCATTGCGAATGGGAAGAAGAATTGAGTGAGGGCTTTCCAAGCTACGAGCATATCTTGGCGTTTCGGGGAAAAGGGGGGGGAAAGGGCGTTCGAGGGTCAGGTTTCGCGACACCACAAATACCACAGGTAGCACCAGGGTCAATGTTTTCATCAATGTTAGCCCAAGTATTTTTTGGGGGTAAGGTAGCTTGAGGCAAAGTCAAGAATTGCAAAAAAGGAATCGTTCGGTATGGCAATACAAAAAAGGTGGTGTATGTCTTTGTGATAATATTGTTACATGGGTGTTTATACACTCATACACGTCTGTCTAGATCAATCCGACTCCAGATGTCCGACAACACAATGCTCCCCCCGAGTTTTACATCTCCTCCCAAGGAGAGGGGCCGCCCCCTCCAGCAGTCTACGTCAGCCAGCACAGCCTAACCAGCCATTAGGACCATTTTACTCCATGGCGACGGTGGCGCCGAGCTCCTTCATGGCGGCGATGATCTTCTCGGCCTCGTCCTTGGCCACGTTCTCCTTCATCAGCTTCGGCGCGCTCTCGACAAACTTCTTGCTGTCCACCAAGCTCAGACCCAACAGGTTCTTGATCTCCTTGATGACCTTGGGCTTGGAGCCGGCCTCAAAGGCCATGAGCTTGATGTTGAAGACGCTCTTCTCGGCGGCCGCCGGTGCGGCCTCCTCGGCCTCCTCGACAGCGGCGGGAGCTGCTGCGGGGGCGGCGGCGAAGCCACCGACGGGGAGATCGGGGATGTTGAGCTTGGACTGCGATTTGAAGACGGGTCAGCATTCAGCCCATGATGATCCTTTTCCCAACCCCCTACGTCCGTCCCTATGACGAGTCCACTTCTTCAACTAACCTTCAAGCTTGAAACGAGGTCTGCCGCCTCGAGGAGAGTAAGGGTGCTAATCTGGTCGACAATGGCGGCGATCTTGGGGTTCGTGGGGGCAGCGGCCTCGGTCGAGTTGTACCTTCGTGCGGTTGCGGGAGTTCGGGTCTGGAAGAGGGTTGTCGAGGCACGCAGCGAGCCAGAGGCACGGAGCTGACGGGCGCAGCTCTGGGCTGCGTATCTGCACGAGAGGGCCATTGTGTGTGGTGTGTGTGTGTGTTTTTTGAGGGTGGATATGAAGAAAGTGGGAGGAGAGGAAGCCAATTGGCGTTTGTTGGAGCGGAGCGGATTGTCGTCGAGATTCGAGATTCGGCCTCAAGCAACAGGGAGGTTCTTTAGCTCGGGATATCTTCTGGCTTGAAGTTTTTCGAGCTCCTGCGAATGAGGTGGTTCCAGTCGCGTGAATGGTGCAGAGTCGTCTCCACTTTGATTGGTTCGGGGGCTCTGTAGTGCCGCCTTCCGCCCCGTGGAGTTCGCTAACTGCAGGGACCCCTGTCGACACTGGACCGCGCCCCATTAATGGCAAGAAAAAAAAGTTGCCTTTTGGCTGGCGCGCGCCGGGAAAGGGTCCTCTCTTCCATTGGAGTACCAGACCAAAAAAAAAAAAAAAGTAAAAAAAAGTTGGAGGTACATGCAAATTGGTCGTCCATGAACATCACCGCCGTCGCCATATCTCATAATTGAGCCACCACCATGGCTTCCATAGACGTGTCGACGCAGAGGAGCGCTCTCCTGAACGATGCGACCGTTCTGGAGCATCTACCCACCGAAATACTAGAGGTTATCAGAAATCACACCTCCTCACACCTCCTCGACGCCGTTGCAGAGGCCGCTCTCATTCCCCAACTTACAGATCGAATTTTCGTTCACTTTGAGAATGTCTTTCCCGATATCTGCGCACGTTGGCTCCTCGACCTCGACAACCAAGCTGCCAATGGCAAGAATAGACAAATCCTTGCGTCGATTGCAAGGATATTACCCTTTGCTCCGTATTTATCGGAATTCCTCCAGCATGTCATGAGAGACGACTTGACGAAAGCAACGTCAGATACCATTCAGACGCTCACCCTCCGATTCCCAAAACTCACCACTTTTTCTCCCACACAAGACTCCGACCTTTTGACGCTATTGCTAGCAGCAAGGCGGCTCGTCTGCTTCGACCAAAGGACCTACGGCATCCTGGTCTCACCAACACATATGCAAACTCTCTTCTCACATGAGAGCCGCGCCGTCCGGTACTTGGCCATCCGGATTTTCACCCAGCTCCTCCGCGCCGCCGACTCGAAGCTGGAAGCTCTCGTCACCGAGCACGTCGGGGCGACGGAGGCCGTCCTCGCTGACTTTGACGGGCGCGAGGTAGACTACGGGTTCCTGAGTCTGTATGAGGATGCACGGATCAAGAAGGTACTGGCCCTGCGCCGGGAGCTTCGCGATGCTTCACAGAGCAATGAAATCCACTCTTTTCCACCTCAATCCCTCACTCCCTATGTTGCGTGCTACGGCAAGACAATACTGCCGAGACCGTCGGGACCGGTCGACAAGAACTCGTCCCTCGTGCTGACGTCCACCACCACCAAAAACCTTGAGAGCCTGGCTGGTCTCTTGAAGAATGCAAGCCCGATTCTGCTTCATGGCCTGCCCGGCTCTGGAAAGACCTCTTTGGTCCATGAAGTTGCAAAGGAGTTTGGAAAGCATTCCGAAATGGTGACATTACACATCAATGAGCAAACAGACGCAAAGATGCTTATTGGACTCTATTCGACCGACTCAAAACCGGGAACCTTTTCATGGAGAGCCGGTGTACTGACAACCGCAGTCAGAGAAGGTCGCTGGGTTCTCATCGAAGACCTGGATAGAGCACCGAACGAAGTCATCAGCACACTTCTCCCCCTGATCGAGCGCGGCGAGCTCCTCATTCCAAGCAGGGGTGAGCGTATCAAGGCTGCCAACGGATTCCGTCTCTTTGGCACGGTGAGAAGTTCACGCGGCATGCATGGACGCGAGACGCTTCCCAACCTGCTGGGTATGCGGTTCTGGCAACTTCTCTCCGTACAGACCCCTACAGAGACCGAGCTACAGGACATCATTGTGGGATCCCACCCCATAGTACACAAGTTCGCGCCTGGCATTCTTGCTGTGTACAAGCGGTTGTCAAAGCCGATGTCCGGCAACGTTCCCTTGTCGTCCAGCCGCGGCATGGCCGATCGCCAAACCAGCTTGCGAGATCTGCTGCGGTGGTGCAGACGTCTTGGAGCCACACTGTCCGATGCAGGCTGCAAAACTGGCGAGGAACCTGTTACTGACACTATCCGAATGAACATGTTCAAGGAGGCCATCGACTGCTTCGTTGCTGGTATTCCCGACGTCCAAGCCAAACAGCACTTGATCTTCGGCATCGCCGAGGAGATGCATATGCCGAGGGAGCTAGTTGAGCATCATCTGGGAAGCTACATCCCGGAGCTTGAGCAAAACGACAGCCTGTTCAAGATTGGTCGATCAACACTGCGCAAGCGCAAGGACCGCGTGAACAAGGCCGCCCTGGCCAAGAAGCCCTTCGCCAGTACAACACACGCAAAGAAGTTGTTGGAGCAGACCGCGGTAGCTGTAAACCTGGGCGAGCCGATTCTCCTCGTTGGTGAGACAGGTATCGGAAAGACGACTGTCGTTCAGCAGCTGGCCGACACGCTGGGCCACAAGCTGGTCGCCATCAACCTGTCCCAGCAGAGCGAAGCTGGAGACCTTCTCGGAGGCTTCAAGCCTGTCAACGTGAGGGGTTTGGCTGTTCCTTTGAAGGAGGAGTTTGAAGACCTGTTCTCGGCGACCGGCATCTCGACAACGAAGAACCAGCGCTATCTCGAACAGCTAGGAAAGTCATTCGCAAAAGGACAGTGGGCCAAGGCGGCCAAGTATTGGCGTGAAGCGCCCAAGATGTTCAAGAAGATTGTCGACGAACTGGCCCGGCGAGAGAGGGAGCAAAGCCAAGCCCGTGACGAGGCAGGCCAGCCAACGAAGCGCCGCAAGACCGAGTCCAAACTTCAGAGCCTTATGGAACTCAGCCCTCGTTGGGATAAGTTCTCCAACAGCCTGGATCAATTCGAGGTTCAACTGTCTGGGGGCTCAACCGCATTCGCGTTCTCTTTTGTAGAGGGCAACATTGTCAAGGCTGCCCGGAATGGCGACTGGGTACTTCTCGACGAAATTAACCTGGCATCGCCTGACACTTTGGAAGCCATCGCGGATCTCCTGACGGGGCCTGTTGATACACCCTCTATTCTCCTGTCTGAAACGGGAGAAATCGAGAGGATCAGAGCACACCCGAACTTCCGCATCTTTGGCGCCATGAACCCGGCAACAGATGTGGGCAAGCGCGATCTTCCCATCGGAATCCGGTCTCGTTTCACCGAGCTTTACGTTGACAGCCCGGACAAGGACGTCAAGGACTTGATCACCATCGTCAAGACGTACCTCAGGAACAGCAGCATCAAGGATGAACACGCCGCGGACGACATTGCGGCGTTGTACATGAACACCAAGAGACACGCCGAGGAGAAGAGAATCGTGGATGGAGCCAACGAAGTGCCGCATTTCAGTCTTCGTACTCTCACCCGAGTCTTGACATTTGTCAACTACATCGCCCCCTTTTACGGCATTCGTCGAGCCTTGTACGAGGGTTTCTCCATGGGATTCCTTACCCTTCTCGACAGGAATTCGGAACAGATGGTCATGCCGTTGATCGACCTCCACCTATTTGGCCGAGTATCGAATCCACAGTCTTTACTTTCACAGTCACCAAGACAACCGGACGATGGTAAGCAGTATGTGCGGTTCCGCAACAAGGCCAAGGATCGTCACTACTGGCTTGCCCAGGGAGAAGAAAAGACTTTGGAGAGAACCGACTACATCATCACACCTTACGTCGAACGCAACCTTCTCAACCTCGTCCGAGCGACATCTACGCGACGATTCCCCATTCTCATCCAAGGTCCGACGTCAGCAGGAAAGACGAGTATGATTGAGTATCTTGCCAACTTCACGGGCAACAAATTTGTGCGCATCAACAACCACGAACACACGGACTTGCAAGAATACCTGGGAACGTATGTCTCAGACTCGTCAGGAAGACTTCGTTTCCAGGATGGTCTCCTCGTACAAGCTATGCGACAGGGTCATTGGATCGTGCTGGACGAGTTGAACCTTGCTCCCACCGACGTCCTGGAAGCGCTGAACCGTCTGCTCGACGACAACCGAGAGCTCCTGATCCCCGAGACACAGGAAATCGTGCGACCGCATGAGAACTTCATGTTATTCTCCACTCAAAACCCTCCTGGTCTGTACGGTGGCCGCAAGGTGCTTTCGCGTGCGTTCCGTAACCGTTTCTTGGAGTTGCACTTTGACGATATCCCCGAGGACGAGTTGGAGTACATCCTCCAAAACAGAAGCATCAATACTGCACCATCAGACTGCAAGCGAATCGTCACAGTCTACAAGGAGCTCTCCCGCCTTCGCCAGACGAGTCGACTGTTTGAGCAAAAGGACAGTTTCGCAACGCTCCGTGACTTGTTCCGATGGGCCCTGCGAAAGGCAGACACACGAGAGCAAATTGCCATCAATGGATTCATGCTTCTCGCCGAGCGAGTCCGAGTCGAGGAGGAGCGGACTGCGGTTAGAGAGGTCATTGAGACCGTTTTCAAGGTCAAGATTGATCCGGACGTTCTATACACTGCCAACGCGTCACCAATCTTGACCGAGGTTCTGGGCAAGTCCAACAACCATGGTGTGGTGTGGACCCGCGCTATGCGACGTCTCTATGTTTTGGTGCATGCTGCTATTCTAAACAATGAGCCAGTCCTTCTCGTGGGTGAAACTGGATGCGGTAAAACCACCGTTTGCCAGATTCTCGGGGACGTACTTGGAAAAGAGCTGCACATCGTCAACGCTCACCAGAACACCGAGACGGGAGATCTCATCGGCTCCCAGAGACCCGTGAGAAATCGCGGTGCCATCTCGGAGACTCTGAAGGGCGATCTGACTGCTCTCCTCGGAGCGCTCGGTGAAGACGTTTCAGGCCCCCTGGACGTTCTGGTGCAACAGTACCACGGTCTTGCGGCGGATAAGATGGCTAGGGTCGACGCTGTCACGCAGGAGAAGATCGCATTGCTGGAAGCCAAGAGCAAAGCTTTGTTCGAGTGGTCTGACGGAAGTCTCGTTCACGCCATGAAGGCCGGTCAATATTTCCTTCTCGACGAGATTTCCCTTGCAGATGACTCGGTCCTGGAGCGTCTCAACTCGGTTCTTGAGCCCGGGCGCTCTCTTCTTCTGGCAGAGAAGGGTATCGACAACTCGTTCGTCACCGCGGCAGACGGTTTCCAATTCTTCGCTACCATGAACCCGGGCGGCGATTTCGGCAAGAAAGAACTGTCACCGGCGCTGAGGAACCGTTTCACCGAGATTTGGGTCCCCGCCATGTCCGAAATGGACGACATGCTTGACATCGTCGTTTCGAAGCTGGACCCGTCCTTCGAGGCTTTCGGCAAGCCTGTGGTGCAATTTGCCCACTGGTTTGGCCAGACTTTCAGATCGTCCTCCTCTACCGCCTTTTCAATCCGTGACATCCTCATCTGGGTCAACTTCATTAATCTGTGCGGCCCTGCCGCGCCCCAGTTTGCGATTGTCCACGGTGCAGCGACCGTCTTCGTCGACAGCTTAGGTGCCAACCCCTCGGCATTACTGGCGATGGACCCCAAGGCGCTCGATTCACAGAGGCAGAAGTGTCTCGACAAGCTCAGCGAGCTTCTTGGGTACGATACCACAGCGGTCTACCGCGCTCAGCCCGAGGTCGTCTTGACCGACGACAGACTGTCCATCGGTGATTTCGGTCTGCCCCGTGAAGCAGGCCGTTCCACAGATCCCAGCTTCGCGTTCAATGCCCCGACCACAAGACTGAACGCCATGCGAGTTATGCGTTCCCTCCAAATGCGGAAGCCCATCCTGCTCGAAGGTAGCCCAGGTGTCGGCAAGACGACCCTTGTGGCTGCATTGGCTCGTGTTTGCGGTCGTCCTCTGACTCGTATCAACTTGTCAGACCAGACCGATTTGATGGATCTTTTCGGTACGGATATGCCTGTCGAGGGCGCCGAGGCTGGCAACTTTGCTTGGCGCGACGCTCCTTTCCTCCAGGCCATGCAGAATGGCGAATGGGTATTGCTTGATGAGATGAACTTGGCCTCTCAGTCTGTTCTGGAGGGTCTCAATGCCTGTCTCGACCATCGTGGCGAGGTATACATTTCAGAGCTCGACCAGGTCTTCAAGAGGCATCCTGATTTCAGGCTGTTCGCTGCACAGAACCCTCATCACCAGGGAGGAGGTAGAAAGGGTCTTCCCAGCTCTTTCGTGAACAGATTCATCGTCGTTTACGCCGACACCTTCACAGCGGAAGACCTCCTTCTTATTGCCCAACACAACTTCCCGACTATCTCCACTGATGTCGTCAGCGGAGTCATTCAGTTCATCTCTCGCCTGGATCACCAGGTCGCAATCGAAAAGGCCTTTGGCGCACACGGCAGCCCCTGGGAGTTCAACCTGAGAGACATCTTGAGATGGCTGCATCTCGTAGCCACAAAGGACCCCCTGCTGGCCACTGGCAAGCCAGACGACTTCCTCGACCTCATCATCCGCCAACGCTTCCGATCCTCTACGGATCGTGAAGAGGTGAACAAGCTCTTCGCCGAGGTCTTTGCCAGAGAGCCGGAAGGCCACAGCCTATATCACGATACTAACGCGGCCTTCTCCCAAGTCGGAAATGCACTCCTGCCCAGGAACCAGACTTCCCAGCCTTTGGAAATGCCCGGCATCGACATTGTACCGCGACTGCCTGAGATCGAGTCCCTGATGATTTGCATCAAGCAAGACATCCCATGCATTCTCAGTGGACCCTCTGGCAGCGGAAAGTCGGTGCTCCTCGAGCATGTCGCCGCTCTCGTCGGCAAGCCTCTCGTCGTGTTTCCTCTGAATGCTGATATCGACACAATGGACTTGGTCGGTGGATTTGAGCAGTCAGATCCTCTTCGCGAAGTCAACGCTACTTTGCGCGAGCTTTTTGAGGGCCTTCAGACCACAGTCCTGACCAGAGTGCCAAGTCAAGTTCCGTCTTCAGCGTTGGCTCTCCTGTACCTTCTGGAGACTTACCGTGGAGATACCGATGACCTTCCCGCCCTCAGGGGTGCAATCGAACACCTGCTTGCCGAAGTGTCGAGCGAATCGGACATCGGAGCTCTTCTTTACACTGCTCATTCGGTCCTGCGAAACCCTCTGACTGTCAGCAACCCCCGTTTCGAGTGGCTTGATGGTGTCATTGTCAAGGCCTTGGAGACCGGACAGTGGCTGGTGCTTGATAATGCCAACCTGTGCAACGCCTCTGTTCTGGACAGACTCAACTCGCTACTTGAGCCTAACGGCTTTTTGAGTATCAATGAACATTGCGGACCTAATGGAGAGCCTCGCATCATCAGACCGCACCCGGAGTTCCGAATCTTCCTCACGGTCGATCCCAGATACGGAGAACTTTCGAGAGCCATGAGAAACAGAGCTGTTGAGATTCATCTCAGTGAGCGGAAGGCGCAGAGTGTCAACAGCTCCGGGTCCCAGGTCCATGTGGAAAGCAGCATGCAACGATTCTCCTCCTCAAAGGACATCTCCTTCTCGGCCTTGAGCGCGAATGACTCCTCCGACGTCAGCCATGCCACCTTTGGAAACCTGTCGCTCAGAGACACAGCGCTCATGGAGAGATTCTCTCACTCTCTGCGTCGTGGCCTGGCTGATCCTAACTGGCCCGGACTCGAAAAGTACGAAGGCTCTCTCAATGAGCAACTCGGCTTCCTTGATGCTGCCGATACAGCTAGCCTCCGCGGCGCAATTTCCCAGCTCTATGCCAAGCTGCCTGGTTCCGACTCGGGCCTCAAAGAAGCCCAGCCTCTGAACCCTCTTCACAACGCTTCCATGGTGAGAGTTTTGGGCCGCAACCACGATGAATTGCCTTTCTGGCTGTCTGTCTGCTATGAGTTCCTCTTGGAAGTCCAACGTTGCCAATCTGCCATTTCTGCGCAAGCCACCAAGGCCAAGGCGGTGAAGCTCGCCGCTTTGAACCGACTCCAACGATCCATCGTCTCGGACCGCATCGCAGCAGTAGCGAAGGATTCGACGGTCAGGGTATCAAAGTTCCTGTCAAGAACTCTCCAGGTCATCAAGACCTTCATCCAGTCCAATCTCGGAACAGCTCAAGGTTGGAAGGAACGGGCCCAAGTTATCCGGAACATGCTGGACTTCTGGTGGCGAACCCTCCACCTGACCACCGGGGACATGTTTGAGGAAGCACGATTCCAGGCTCACTTGGTACATGGTGTTGAGGCCGTGCAGAAACTTCTTTCGTCAGAAACGCAGTCCATCAACAGGCAGCTTGCCGATCGCTACCTTCAGACCGTGGAAGAGGACTTCACCACCGGTTTCCGCCTTACTACTGGTTTGAGCATGGAGGTCATGTGGAAGCGCATCAAGCCGCTCCCCATCATGAGCGAAGAAGCTCTCAAGACAAGTCAAGAGATTGAGCGTTTGGGCATTCGACTTGACGAGCTCAAGTGGAAGGTCAAGGCATCCGTCTCTGACCTTGCCAGAGCCATGACAACCCTCGTCAAGGCCGACCAGATTGTGCGCGGCACCGATCTCGACGCCACCGAGCTCATCCAGGACCTTTCCAAGGAGATTGAACTGTTGGAGTCCAAGGTGGGCTCTGAGACCAGCGAAGTGAAACCGTTCTTCGCGGCAGAGTTCGAAACCCTTCGCCAGGCCTCGCTCTTGAAATCTCATGCCGGCCAATACCTCGAGGCTGTGCCATACGGCGCCAACGAGGCTGAACTTACGGTCTTGTCGAACCAGAATACTATCGACCAGATCCGCCTGGGCAGCTTCCAAGCCAGAGAGGCGCACTCACTTACTATTGGTCAGCTGGCGTCCCAACACCCGGCCACTCAGGTGTGGAACGGCAGACTCGCAACGTCGCTCTTGTCAAGACTCAACTCGATTCAATCAACCAGTCTGCGTTCCTTGGGTCTTTTGGAGACCGAGCTCCCCGCTATGGGCCGGTCCGTGGCCGCGTTGGCTCCGGTGTTGCAGAAGAACCAAATCGTTGCTCTCAACAGAGTAGTCAAGTCACTTCTCGCAGATGTCTTCAGCCTGTATAGCGATGAAGGAGACGTTCACTGTGAGACGCTATACAACCGCATCAACCAAATGTTCGAGGACACCAAGGAAAAGGAAACTTTGACGGCTGTGACAAAGGTCATGGAGATTGGGTTTGGGAAGGCACTTCAGTGCAGCGATTGGCCCCGACATCTGCCGCAACTTGTCGAGAACCACTTCAGTACGGCGATGCTTTACGTCGTAGCATCTGATAGGATGTATGAAAGGCCCCAAGAGTCCGAGACCGACGAGGTGTTGATGATGCCCGCGTTTACTGCCATGGCTTGGTCCGAATTCGCCAACGGCGCCATCAGGCTCTACGTGCCCGACAAATCCTTCGACCCGCAACTTCGGCCACAATTCGAAAAGGACGTTCACGATGAGTTGACCAAGCAGCTGCAGCACAAGCTTTCATCTTTGCTTGACTTTGAGACCCAATTCACCGGGCAGAAAACCTCTCTCCGCATCCAGCTTGCGCAAGAGGAGGTGACCGCACTGGGACCTGCGCCGGCACCGGCGCAGCTGCTCTACCGACCGGTTCGATCAGAACTCAACTATGTTCAGACAGACTTCAACAACGTCCTGAAAATGGTCAGAGACCAAGATCTCTACAACACCCACACCAAATATGTCTATTTACCAACCGGCTATGACCCAGCCCCGGAAATCGATCTCCTCAAGCAGAACCTGGCTCTGATGATCGACCGCCTTGCCAATCGATTCCATGCCTACCAAGACATGACTCGGCCTCTCGTCAATATTCTGGGCTGTCTTCAAGTCGGTCTTTCGTTGAGCGCAGGGCTCATCACCCTTAGGCAGCATGCTCAAAGATCTTTGGACCCGGAGGAGAACCTCATGTACCTCACGCCTTTCACTGGCGGTACGCCGTATCACCACGGGATCAAAAAGTTCCCGAACAAGAGCTTGGAGTTCCTTGACTACATTGGTCTAGTTGCATCAGTCGAGGGCTTGTCGAACTTGAGCGCTGGTGTCCGTGAAGCGCTCTTTGAATGCGTTCACAGGTTCTACCAAGAATGGGTCAAGAAACTTGAAGAAGACCGCAAGGCTGAGGAGGCCAGAACGAACCTTTACCGGCACAAGGGAAGCTGGGAAGACGAGGAGGAGGTTGACGAGGAAGAGTTCAACGAGCTCTTCCCCACGTATGACCAGGAGGAAGAAGAGAAGCCTGCGATTGGCCACCAGAAGGTTCGCGATGTGTCAGTTCGTCTGGCAGAATCTCATCGCAAGGTCTTCCTGGAGCAAGCCGCCCCCTCCGAAGCACTGAAGAACGTCTGCAAGAAGGTCGGGAACAGCGTTGCGGCGGATAACAAGGACAAGTACGCTGTCCTGCCGAACATGACCCGTCGTCTCCTGCCCCTGACTCTCTGGTCCATCGACGAGCAAATGACCACCCTCACCGCGAACGGCGTCAGCGCTACTTACAACTTTTACACCGAAGCCAACCTGCCCGAGGTTCGCCGCCTGATTGCGCTTATCGACAAGGTAGAGGCCCGCTTCCGAGATCTCCAACAAGTCGACGAGATCGGTCACATGCAGCCTTTGGCAGACGTGCGATCAGCCTGCGACCAGCTCCTCCAGCTCACTCACTCGGAGCCCCTGGCCAAGATCCTCCCCAAGCTGGAGACCCTGCACGCCATCGTCTACGAGTGGCAGCACGGAGGCTACGCTCCCGCCATCTACGGAGCTCCTGCTCTCTACACGTCGCTGACGGATACAATCATCAGCTGGAGACGCCTGGAGCTCTCGACGTGGGCGAAGCTCTTCGACATGGAGGCCCAAAAGTGCACGGCAGACGCCGATTCATGGTTCTTCGTCGCCTACCAGGTCCTCATTGCCACACCTCTGTCACTTGTCGACTCCCCCGAGCTCAAGGACTACGCCGTCAATCTCGTCAGAGAGCTCGAGACGTACTTCTCGACCGCAATCATTGGCCAGTTCTCAGCCCGCCTCACGCTTCTGAGACAGCTGCAAAAGCACCTTGAGCTGCTCACGGTCGACTATCCTTCCTTGGCTGTGGTTTCTGACGCCGCCATCAACTTCATCGGTTTCTACTCCCGCTTTGAGAAGATCGTCCACCAAACAATCGTCAAGGGGCGGGCGCCGTTCGAAAAGACCATGAAGGAGGTCGTGCTGTTGGCCAGCTGGAAGGACACGAACATCAACGCCCTACGTGAGAGCGCACGCAAGTCTCACTTGAAGCTCTTCCGTCTTGTTCGTAAATTCCGCACTCTTCTCGGACAGCCAATGAAGCCTATTCTGGACCAGGGCATCCCCGACGAGGACGTTCCCATTCCCCAAGACGCCGTGGCCGCGGACGCGGTTGACATCAAGGTCGATCTCGCAGCCATCAAGACTTGCAACCAAGGCTTGCCAGGCTGGCTCGCTCAACACAAGCGTCTCTCGAACGCCTCAAAGACGCTGTCCATCATGGCCAACGTTTCTGTCCAGGCGAACCAGAGCCCACTGGACGCTACCCAGGAGATCATCTCGTACGTCAAGGAACTCAACACCTCCATTGCCGAGCTACGAAAGGAGACGCCCAGCACCTTGACCGATGAGACCAAGGACCAGGTCAAGCACCTCAAGACGCGCAAGCGCAACCTCTATGCCGATGTGCTCAAGATCCTGAGGCAGATGGGCTTCCGATACAACCTCGGAACCGACGAGCTGGCCCGACAGGAGTCTGCTGCCGTCGTGCTTGCCGGCTCGCCAGCCTCCATTATTCGGGAGGGCAGCGCCGATGACGCCGCTGAGTACTACTTCCACAAGGTCGTCGACATCGCACCCAAGGTCAGAGCCTCGATCCACGAGTACTCGGGCGATCTTACCGGCGCCGAGATGCAACGAAGCACCGGTTTCATGGAGGGTATGATGGCCGTCTTGCTGGGCCAGCACAGCTCTCTGTCTTCTGCTCGCACCGCGATTGCCTCTCTTGATCGCGCCATTGCCACCGTTGACAGCTTGAAGGGCACAACGATCGGACACGACACCACCCGCACTCGCGCAGGTCTTTCTATGAAGTGGATGAAGCCAATCCTGGACTTTGGAATCAAGATTGTGGATATTCACGGCAAGTTGGCATCTGTCGACAATCAACCCATTTCCAACATCCTGCGGACTGCGCTGCAGGAAGTCGAGACCCTGTCGGAGAGCTGGTCTACATCCGCTTCGAAGCACGACAAGTTCACCAACGGATCGCACAGCGATATCCAGACAAGATACAACTCTGTGGAGCAAACGTTGAATGGCGAGCTCCCTACTAGTCGCCGCGATCTTGACTTCATCTTGGATCAGGTTAGAAGATGGATCCATGTGCCACATACCTTTGGCCGCGAGTTACCGGCCCTCGATGCTACCGCCCAGAAGTTCAAGCACGCCATCTCCAGTCTCTGTGATGCCGTCCTCGTCGCGGTCCAAGGATACAAGAAGGCCATGGCTGATCTGCCAAGCTCGTCCGACGATGCAGGCTGGTTGGCAAAGGCATCCACCGTTCGCAGCGCCGGACTGAGTGCACTTCACATCAACGCAATCGTAAGCAAGGTCGAGGATTGCTTCTCCGCCTTGGAGCTTGTCGACTTGGACAAGGACCAGATGGGCGCCGTTGCTTCGTCGCTCTTCTCCATTGTCCTCCCGATTCTTCGACAGTACGCCCTCACCTGTCGCCAGAGCCTGGCTCAGCTTCAAAGCTTGCAGGCGGCCACTGGCCATATGACATACAACCTGGCGCAGACTTTTACTCAGCTCGCCGCCAAGGGCTTCTGCTCCCCGCAAGAAAAGTCAGACGAGCAGTCTGGAGACTCTGGAAAGATGGATTCCGGAACGGGACTTGGAGACGGAGACGGCGCAGAAGACATCAGCAAAGACATTCAACCTGATGAGGATCTCACCGAACTCGCTCAAGAGCCCAACAAGGAGAAGGATGGAGAGATGGAAGACGAAAAGGATGCGGTCGACATGGCGGACGAGGAGATGGAAGGAGAAATGGGCAGTGTTGACGGAGATGACGAGGAAGACAAGTCAGACGGAGAGGGCGAAGACGGTGAGAAGGATGACATGGAGGAGGAGGTTGGCGATGTTGATGACTTTGATCCCACTGCCGTCGACGAAAAGATGTGGGACGGAGACAACGAGGAGGAAGCGGAGAAAGACCAGCAGGGCGAGAAGGCCAAGGGTCAGAAGAAGGACGAGCAGATGGCCGCCGATGCCGACGCCAATGCTGACGAGAACGACGCCGAGGATGATAACAAGATGGACCAGGACGATGACGAGGAGGCGGAGGACGAAGAGCCTGGTCAGGAGCAAGAGGACGCCAAGTTTGAGGACGACCAGGTCAAGCAAGACCAGAACGTCGAAGAGAACGATGCTCTTGAGATGCCTGAGGAGATGGACTTTGACTTTGAGGAGGACGGAGAAGATGCCGGCTCCGAGGACGACGAGCTTGACAAGTTGTCCGACGTTGAAAAGGAGGAGACGAAAGAACAGCATGATTCCGACATTGAGGACGGAGAAGAGGAGACCCAGCGACCCGATGAGAAGGGTCCTGAGGAGGAAGATGAGGATGGCAAGGAAGAGGAAGCGCCCGAGGAAGATCTTGCTGGCGAACCCGAGCTCGACATGGAGCCCAAGCCCGAGGAAGAGGAAGAAGAAGCCGCCCAGCCAGAACAACCCGATGCCAGCGCGGAGCCGCCCAAGGACAACGCCAACGCCGATGCCAACGCTGCGCCGAGCGACGTCAAGGGCGGCGGCCAAGACCAAGACGTTGACCAGATGGACGTCGAAAACGACTTCAACAACAACGCCGCCCAGCGAGACGATGGCGACGCGGGTGAGGGTTCCGCAGAGCAGCAGACGAGCGCTGGGAAGAAGGGACAGCTCTCCCGGTCCGACGATCAGGCGCAGCCCACCGACCAGGATCAGGACGACTCAGCCGAGGAGAAGAGCCGCCAGGACCCCTTCAAGAAGCTCGGCGACGCGCTGGAGCGCTGGCACCGTCAGCAGAACGACATCAAGGACCCGGAGAAGCAGGACGAGAAGGAGGGCGAGCAGAAGCAGCCGAAGGATACCAGCGCGGACCTCGGCGCCCGCGAGTTCCAGCACCTCGAGGACGACGAGACCGCCGTCGACGCGCAGGCCATGGGCGCCGCTTCGGAGGACCAGGTGCAGCCTATCGACGAGGCCATGGCCATTGACGAGAAGGAGGACCCGCAGAGCCGCGTGATGCCCGATAACGAGGACGTGGAGATGGAGCAGGATGCCGCCGACAAGATGGACACCGAGGCGGACGAAGCCCCCGAGGCGCAGGATAAGGACAACGGCGCCGACAAGGACGACGGTCGATCGGGCGTCAAGACGCGACAGGGCAACTTTGACCGCGAGCCGTCGCCCGAGGAAGACGAGGTCCCGAGAGACGGAGACGAGGAGGAGGAGCAAGCCATTGAAGAAACCTCGACGCAGCTCTCGACAACACACATCAGCGAGGACGACAACACCCTCCCCCTCGGCGACTTCTCCGAAGCCCTGCAGTCCTGGACATCCTTCCAAACCAAAACCCACCCCCTCTCCCTCTCCCTCACCTCCCAGCTCCGCCTCATCCTCACCCCCTCCCAATCCACCAAACTCTCGGGCTCCCACCGCACCGGCAAACGCCTCAACATCAAGAAAATCATCCCCTACATCGCCTCCTCCTACAAGCGCGACAAGATCTGGATGCGCCGCGCCGTGCCCACAAAGCGCTCCTACCAGATCCTCCTCGCCGTCGACGACTCCCGCAGCATGGGCGAGTCCTCGTCCGGCACCCTCGCCCTCGAGTCCCTCGTCATGGTCTCCCGCGCCCTGACGATGCTCGAAGTAGGCCAGGTCGGCGTCCTCGGCTTCGGCGCAGACACCTTTTTGGCGCACGACTTGGCGTCCCCCTTTGCCTCCCACGATGCCGGCGCAAAAGTCCTGCAGCACTTCCACTTCAAACAAGACCGCACCGACATCGCCCTGCTGGTCCGCAGGACGATAGACCACTTCCGCGCCGCGCGCCTGCAGAACCCGTCGCGCGGCGGCGGCGCAGAGGACCTCTGGCAGCTGGCGCTCATCCTGTCCGACGGCCTGACGCCGTCGAACCAGCACGAGCCGATCCGCCGCTTGCTCCGCGAGGCCATGGAGGAGCGCATCATGGTCGTCTTCATCGTCATGGACGACACGGGCAACAAGAAGGGCGACAGCGTGCTGGATCTCAAGGAGGCGAAATTCGTCAAGGACGAGCACGGCGGTAGTAGGGTTGTTATTGAGCGGTATCTCGATACTTTCCCGTTCCAGTACTACTTGATTGTGCATAACCTCGAGGACCTGCCTGGCGCGTTGGCTGGGTTGTTGAGGACCTGGTTTGCCGAGGTCAATTCGTGAAGAAAATAGACAAGGAAAAGGGAACAGGAAGAGAAAAGTTTACGTGTTTTGTTGATTTCGAGAGAAGAAAAAAGGAGTTTGGGACGGGATTCATCATTGCTTGTTTGTTAGTTATTTAAGACGGCGTTGAAAGAATGTGCATTTTCAAAACTTAAGAGTCAGACAGAAATCGAGCAACGTATTGCCAATCACGTTCCATTGTATTGTGAAGGTAGCCGTGACCTTCTTATGTGGTATCAACCCGGGCCGTAGCCGCCGTAGCCAGCGCGTAGAATTACATAGAGAAAATACACTCCAAGACCACCCTGAACTCCATATCCCAACCAGTCCATTCCAACGTGCTCTTGGGCATCAGCAAGGTAAATGCAGCACGCTAGGCGCTCTCAACTCTGACCTTCTTGGCCGCACCCTGCTCCTCGCCATCATCGACAGATTTGCGCTTGCTGCCCGAGTCGACGGCATTCTCGGCAGAAGCAGCCATGTTCTTCACCCAGCGAGCGTGCCAATCAAGAATTCTGGCGTACTCGAGCTCGACGCTGACCAAGGCCTCATTGAGCTTCTCTGACCGCTCGGACTGGTCCAGTTGACCGAGCACATCAGCGTTCTGTCGGTACAGGCGCTGCTTCACAAACAGCTGCCACAGGCGGTACAGGTGCTTATCCTCCTTGGTAGGCGTCGGCTTCTTCTCATCGCCGAATCCTACCCGGACAGACTCGGGAAGCTGTGACATTGTCTGAATCTCAATCAGGCGCTTGAACTGACGCTCCACGATCTTGGTCTTTTGACGAAGACCTCTGAGAAGCTCCTGGTCTACTAGGTCCTTGGGTACGGTGCCGCTAGGAGGGCTAGGAATAGCAATGCTCGTGTTGATCTTGACCTTGCCGAATTCCGGCAGTGACCGCAGGAAGGTAATGTCAGCCAAGTCGCGCATGTCATCGAAAGCCTCGTTGGGGTCCTCCACAGTCAACTCCAGGGTCTGCGGGTTCTTGTAGTAGTGCTCAAAGATGGTCTTGTAGAGACGGGCGCCAATGCCTTTGCCCTGGAAAGGCGGCAAGATCAAGAACTGTGAGAGCCGAGATCGGCAGGGAAGCTCCTCCAGCAGGTTGAACTCCTCCTTTGGCAGATCCCACTCGGATGACGGTGGCGTAGGCGGTCTAAAACAGAAGAACTTATAGACGGTTGAGTAACCGACAAATGTGTACGAAGGCTTGTCGCTGGTCTCCGGGGATATCTGCTTTCTGTACAGAAAGAACGTGGTCCAGCGGTTGGCATCCTCGAGGACCTTCCACGGGTCCTCCTCGTTCTCTGGATCGCGAGAGACGTACGAGCCTCCCTCAATGAACATTGGGACCATGATCTCGACTCGGGTGACGATCTGACGGATAGCAGGGTCGGCAAGACTTCCCTTCCACACCTCGTACGTGCCGTCATCGCCCTCAAAGCTCGAGTGTAGACTGCCAGGAGGGGTCCAGTCGGCGGGTTGGCTCTGGGCACTTGTGTTGAACTCGCGTGCGGGTTGAAAGGCGACTGTGACAGGTTCACGATTAGCGAAATAATTTCTTCGCGACGGAGCAGCGTGACTTACCGAGGGGGAGGTGCTCTTTCAGAGTCGCGTCGACATCTGCCGCCTCGGTCTCTCCAACGGACTGAAACTTCCTGCCGTATAAGACCTGGACGTTGGGACGCATGTCGAATGTGCGGTAGCGCAGGTTGATCTTCAGATCCTTGTATCCGAAGATGCGCTCATCATCGCCGAAGATGGAGTAGGTAAACTTGGGGTTGAATGTGGCAATCGTCTTTGTCGCTCCGGTAGCAGGTGCGATCAAGCTGATGTTCAGCGATTCGGTGGCGTTGGCCGACCCTATCCAGCATGTCAGTGATCGTTGCGACGATGGGGTTATGAAGAAGTTGAGATTCATACACTCATCCGTCTCAGCCATGGTATCGATATAGGTATGGTGTGAGACGCGCAAGTTGTGGTTGGTCTGGGGCGTTCCAATGCAAATAAAGGAGTATTGCGATAGAGTACTTGTCGTCTCGCGGTTCAACAAACGGCGTTCGGGTATTGTTTGCTTGTCGAGGTTGACGTCGAAGGTCGACCGGGAGCTTCTTTTTTTGCGACGGAATCAGCCTTGGGGGTTTACGCGCAGTCTAAAGCATTGTCGCGACGAGACGCGCCTGTGAGTTAATTGAGCCCCGCTGCAGTCGGATTGAGTGGCTCACGACAGTCCAGGTGCTGCCGAGCCCTATTGCATCAAATCGGCTGTCAGCGGTTTCGAGGGGCGCTAGTGCTGAAAACGCCTTAGCTCTGGTCTATTCCTCGCAGCAGCCGCAGAAGGAGCAAGCGGCGTGGCAGCAAGCAGGAAGCAGCAACGGGAAGGACCCACCAGATTACGACATGGGGTGACAAGGCCCAGAAGAAGGGGGGAGGGGAGGTTCAAGTGGCATCAAGGGGGACGACGCAGAGAGCGAGCAAGCAAGGAACCTTGGAAAAGCCAATGGAAATGCCCAGCGACCAATGATCTTGCGCCCGCTGTCCCGGTAGGTGCACCTTGGGAGCCAGCTCAGCTCTCCCAACCTCGACGATAATTCTCCCTGTGCACTCCTAGCTCAAATCCAATCTCAAAGAAAAAAAAAAAGAGTCGAGGGCAGGAGTTTGAGCAGCTCCATCATTTTTGCCGTCTGTCGATTTCTCACCTCGTCCATTCACGCCAGAGCTGCCGTCGACAATTGAAGAACCTCAGACATGCTGGCGTGATCCAACAACGTCTCGATAAACCCTCTTCCACTCTCTCTTCTTCCTCTCTCTCCCCTCTCATCCGGCCCCCCTCAATTCCGCGCACGCCGAATCGCAATCGATCGACGCTCCCTATCTGACTATGGGAGGACTACTGTTGCTGCTCTTGCTGAGCGTATGTACACACCATTCTCTTACATACACCAGTCTACCTACCTTGCCCGTAGCTCGAGCTCCCGGCCAGGCGGTACACTTTGGACGGCTATGCACGATGGAAAGCTAACAAATCATCTCCACGATAGACGGTCATGGCCTTGGCGTAGGTTGCACACGGCGATGCTTCTCCCCAGCCTTCCGAACCCTCCGTAAAACTGACGACGTATCCCGCGATTTCTCAGGTCCTTCTTCGCCGGCTCACTACCACTCGCAATCACCCTCACACAGTCGCAACTCCGATTGATATCAAGCGTTGGCGTCGGTATCTTGGTTGGAACATCCATGATTGTGATTATACCCGAGGGCATCGAAGCCGTCACGACCACTGGCGGGCACTCGCACAGCAAGAGGAGTTTGGCAGATACAGCTGGAAAGCAAGGAAGGCCGGCTATTCGGTGGACGACAGACGGAGAAATACCTCAGTTGGCAGATACCACCAAGTCTGCGCGGACTGTTGAAGAAGAGCTTCAATCCATCGGCCGTGATGTGGAATACACTGCAAAGCTGCAAAGTCGGGAGGAGCAGGATGAGCATGGCCACGAGCAACCTCCGGCACCCGCCCCTGGTCCCGAGCCTCACCACGACGAGCCGAAGCACGACAACGAGGTACCGACCTTCTACATCGGCCTGTCTATGATCCTCGGCTTCGTCCTCATGTACCTCATCGACAGACTGCCCCGCCACGCAGCAGGTGGCAATGGATCCGAGCCGCAGATGCGTCACGTCAGCTTGGATAACCTCGGCGGTTCATCAAGCGTTGGCGATGAGGAAACGGAGGGCTTCCTCGGTTCTCTTGCGCCTCCACCAAAGCAATCCCGAAGCCTAGCTACCACCATTGGATTGGTGATCCACGCCGCAGCGGACGGCATCGCAATGGGCGCGTCCACGTCCACGTCAAACACCAAGTTGGGGCTTATAATATTCGTCGCCATCATGGTTCACAAGGCACCAGCGGCATTTGGTCTGACATCGGTGCTTCTGAAGCAGGGATTGTCCAAACGAACGGCTCGAGGACACCTCATCGTTTTCAGCCTGGCTGCTCCTTTTGGAGCTCTTAGTACGTGGGCCATCATTCGAATCTTGGGCGGTGGAAATTTTGAGGGCGAATCTGGTCAGTGGTGGACGGGTATGCTTCTACTCTTCTCCGCAGGAACGTTTCTGTAAGTTGGACGACAGCCCATCGTTGAGGCGTGAACAATGACTAACAACCTACAAGGTTTGTTGCGATGCATGCCATGCAGGAAGACAGCAGTTCTCCAAAGCACGAACACGGTGGTATGAACGGCTATTCTGACGGGAATGGTGCACAAAGGGGCCAGCAGAGGCCGCAGATGCGTGATACTTTTGCGACAGTCGCTGGCATGCTCCTGCCGCTTCTTACCCAGTTTGGACATCACCACTGAACAATTGCCTGCGCAATGGACAACGGAGTCCCGTATCTCGAGATGAAAAAGGTGTAATGCTGGGTGTTTTTTGTACGAGTAAATCGTGGCACCGAAAAACTGAAGGGGCTGGGTCCTTCTGACACCTGACGATGATGATTGTATAGACTTCCATAACTTTGAGTTCGTCTCTGAATCTGGAGGGAATAAGTCCAGATGATGTATTTTAGGAATCTGTACTATTAGATCGACCATAAGCGCTTTCGAATCCCTATAGAACGCATGGTAGTCTCAAAATCCCGCTTCGACACGTTCCAGAAGCTGCAGTCCGAGTCGAGTGGCTCGGAACCAATCTGGGTTTGTGAACTGACCCGGTGGTCCATTGATCGGGGCCGAGGAGCGCGGCCTACCTATCTGCACACAGTAAGTAAGTACAGCATGTTGGCTGGGAGGGGCCGGCTCGACGGGCGCCAGGGAAGCCCTTGTCGACCGAGCGTCCAAAGTCGAGCTAGGTTTCTGGTCGGGGTGTTTCAAGTTCGTACGACGACCTTGGCTCCAGCGAGGCGCTCATGGCGCCGCCTGCTGGCCACCGGTTGGCTCAAGAGGATTAACGGCCCTTGGCATCGCATTCGCTTGTCCTTGTCCGAGCCAGGGCGCGGAAGATCCTCAGCGACGGAAAGCAAGCTGGGCTTCATGGTTACTACTCCGTACACAGTAGGCCAACTTTCAAGGTCTCGGGCCTGAGGTCGAGGTTCAAAGGGAGAGAGAGGGAAAAGTGTCCGTAGCGTCCACGTCGAAGAGAAAAGATCTGCAAGGCTGAACGCTGCATCTGGATCACTGCGCATCTGCTGGTTTATTGCTTTCTTCAGACCCAGATCATCCCATGAGTAAGCTGACATTGCCTATCCTCTCATTATTGAACAATCCGATGTTTGAGAAGCAAGGAGGACTTGAGTTTCGAGACAGTCAACCCCAGTGGGCCCCAGTGGGCCTGGGCGCAAGAGGATAACTACACCCCTTCACTGTAACATTGAGGTAAGATCTGAAGCATGAGCCGCCAGTGTCGCAAATGGATGGTCCTCTGGAGACTGGTGCTGCGCACTTGTAGGCCACATCTGGCCAACTCTTTGGCAGCTTTTCTCAGTCGCATTTGGCGGACAGTTCAGACGCAGATTTGCTTTTCGGCCCAATCGCACACATCGTGGTAAAAGTTCCCAGTCTTGTATCGCAAACATGCTAGGAGTGAGGAATATCTAGACTTGAGGAACGCGGGACCAACAATAGGGCCGCTCCCTTAAGGGTAGGGAGGTATGGTAAATTCGACAGCAACCGGTACTTGCCTAGACATAGCGTCTAGGATCTGCAGTTTCCTCGGCCCGAACCAGGCCTTTTCTAGTCAAAGAGGACATGCGGTCGAACTCTTGAAAACGTGTTGCTAGCTACCGCTGGTAATCCAATTCCCTAAAGCAAAACTTGTTAGGCTAAACCAACAGATTGACAGTGACAGGGTACCGTAGAAACCCGAACGAGTATTCGTAGTTCAGCGGGTTCTCTTGCTGGCGAGCCAACCTACTCCGTGCGCGGTCGCAACAGCCTACCTAGTCTCCGCGAACGTGGGCGAGTTGTTGTATCCGTATTCGTAGTGCTGTTGTATCACTGGGTTCAGGGTCAGAAGTCGTCTCTTTTCCAATCGAAAAAGCACCTATCCGTAGGCCAGAGCGCCGTCGCATGTGCATGGCTGCGGTGGAACCTGTGTCGAATTATGAGTCGATAGTTGCAAAGGACGTTGACTATGCGAAATTGGTTGTTCCTGCAAGACCTTGGAAGACAACATCCCAGACAATAGCGCTGACACTCAGGGTTCAGAGATGGGAGGGCGGCTGTGGCTGTCCTTCAAGACCGGGGAAAGACGCAGTGAGATCCTTTTCGGCGTACGGAGTACGTACACGCCAGACTCCCCATTGCGCCATTGTGCTTTTCCCATCGCAGGCTGAGTGAGGTGTGGGAACTTGAAAGGGCAGACGGCACCGGGCAAGCCAATGGGTGAGTGCGCTGGACGACTCGGGCCTGAAGAGCGAAGACAGACTCGGTCGCGACTTTGGCATTAAAGAACCGATCGACGTCACGAATACCCACTACGGTGCCTCCCAAGTGCAGACGAGGTGGACACTAGTTGGTGGCATGTAAGCGCCGCTAACTCGGACCCTGCAGGCCACCCCAGAGGGCAGAGATGTGGTTTATTGTTTGCGGCGACTCCAAAGAATGTGAGACGTGCTCTCTCTCTCTCTCTCTGACTCTCTCACACACACTCTCTGTCAGCTGGTCTTGGTTAGCTTGTAAAAGACAATAGACCCGAGAGTCGGTCATGCGTAGGTATGTAAGGGCAGTAACGGTCTTTGGAAGCCATGGAAGTAATGACAGCGTTTAAATGCCCGACCGCGACCAGCGTTGAGGTGTGACATTGTTCGCTTCGTTACGTCCGCATTCGAACTCTTCCGTGGCGATAACGGGCTGACAGAATCGGCGAGCCAACCGCCAAGACCTACGAGAGAAAGTTGCGAGTTGCTGAGAATGCCCTCACCGTCGAACCCTATTCGTTTGTAGAACGGTTTCAGAGCCCGTGGAAAACCATCGTTCCAGTGACGGAGGTGTTCCCGAGATTATGAGAAAGTCACAAATATCGATGTCCCATTCAAGACGAGCGGCCGATGTTGATATTCCTGGGAAGGAAGAGAGAAAGTGTGTGTGTGTGGCTGGCAGTCGTTCGCCGGTAGTTCAAAGTGTTGTGTGTCTCCG